AGTCATTAAAAAGCATATCAACAGATCACTACATAAATAATCACTTAAAAATGTCTTAGTTCTCGTCTACATCCAAAGGGAAATGTATATTCGGTCCAATATTCTTTTGAATTTCGATAGTTGCACTTCCTACTTAGATAGCTATAAGAAGTATCGATTGATCTTTAATGCTTATCGGAATCAGCTGTTTCTCTTTACACCCGGAAAACGTGCAAAAATTATTCGTGATTTAAAATAGTTTGCAAATCAGTCCCCAATTGTATTCCGATCCAAAGTTTGTGGCTCTTTATTTGTGACGTCTATTTAATTCCTTCTTCCCACCAAAAACAGGACTCTGACTCTTGTGATACCTGTCGCGGGGCAGACGATGGTCATTGCAGCGACGATTGCTGCCAGGAGGGTGGTTCCTGTGCCCCTCTCAAGCCGCCACTGCCGCCAGAGGTGCCCGCAACGTCATCATCATCAAAGAATGAGGATTCCTCGCTCAAGGCAGAGCAGCAGCAGCAGCAGCAGCCCATGCACTTCGATCACCTATCGGTGGTGTCTGAGGAGACGCTGAGCAATCCAGAGATGCTGCAACAGTTCCAACAGCAAGAACATCGAATGCTTTGCACACCGGATTTGAATGGATCGCAGAGCACGCTGCCCAGTTTAATGGGACCACTGACACCCCTGACGCCCATTGAGCTGGTGGCTAATCAGATGAATGACCTGCACGCCTCAGTGCCACCATTGTCGTACTTTGAGAACATACTGTCGCAGCACATGGGAAATCCGAATTCAGGTGAGCGGAGAACCTTTTATCTTGAGTTGAATCTGTTATCCATTTCTAACTCTTCATAGCCCTGACACCCACGCCCGAGCTGGGGAGCAGTTCGAGCACCACCACTGGCAAGACCATGCGCCACACCAATGGCTGGGACTACAATCTCCAGTCGCCCTTCACGCACCGAAAATATTCCAATCATACATCGCCTTCCCGCTCGCCACCGCCACCGGCTATGATGACAACCTTTGTGCCAACATCCACACAGCAGACGATGCCAAAAATCGCCCTGAATGCTCCACATCTGCCAGAGAGCCAGGGGGACATCGAGACGGTGGCCATCACTACGAATGCAACGCAACAAGCGCTCAACAGTCCGAAGCATTTCTTTGCCCCGCTCAAGCCGCGTCTCAGGCTCAACACGAAGCTCGCGAACCAGGGTCAGTGCCAGGGGCAGTTGCCAGATTCCCTGCCGCCAGGATCGCCGCCACCGCCGCTACGTGATCCTCCGGATATATTCGTGAACAATGCTCTGGCATCGCCGTACCAGAGACGAGTCTCGCCACAAGTAAGTCCGCGTCGCCATCGCGCCCACTCGCATTGCCATGCCCACCAGCATCCGCGCCAGCACCCAAGCCAGCGGCACGACCAGGACCACGACCACGACCACAACCAGGAGCAAGAGGGGGTGCCACAGCATCCCCATCACTGTGCCCTGCACCGAGCCGTGGTCGATGTGGCCGCTGCCGTTGGCTTGGGCTTTGGCCCCGCTGCCAATGCCAGTCCCAGAGACAAGGCTCGGCCGCATCCGGGCTCCAGCGTGCTGGACATCTACACGGCTGCCCTTGCAAATGCAGCGGTAGCCCGTTGCGCGCCACTACCTATGCCCAACTCTGCTGCGGAGCCCATCTATGCGACCGCACAAAAGCCCTGCCAGAGCACCTGCATCTCGGCCACAGCCCTGACCAAGCCCGTGATGACCATCACCACGAACACAACCAAGACCACAACTTCCCCTATGAGATTGCCAGCGAAAGTATCGAAGGTCCAAGCGAAACGGGAGACCGTTAGTCAGGTGAGGGGTCGATCTTCTGACCAGCAGTCGATCATCCTCCTGTCATAGTCCTCTCCTTTCATCAGATCCAGTCATCAGATCAGTTTAGCTGTATTAAAATGGCATTCTTCATTATCTTATGCTTTCGATGTCTATAATTTATAGGATTTTTAGACCACCTAATCGATGTTCATGTCCCCCAAAACTATTTTCGTACCACATTTGAATATGATTCTCATGTTTTCCTCTCAAAATATATTCTATTTCTATACTAGACTGCTTAATTTCTAATCAAAATCAATTCTTAGATCCAATTAACAAACAAAAGTTGTAAACAATTTTGGAAAATGTAGGAAAAAGAATCAAATCAAGATTTGTTTTTTGTATCTTTATTTAAATGAAGGGATCTGGGATGTATATTAATTATAGTTCCCTCATCCCATAAATGTTTAGAAATAGAAGTCCAAGGAATAAGTATTCAAACCTTTTACATATATTAATGTGTAGATCTCTAAATAAATACGTAATTCCTTAACTAGATGTTCCCCCACGGCATTGAAACCTTTTAGAACCTTTAAACCAATCGCTTGAAATCGCTTTAGAAAAAGACAAATCATATTATTTTGGATTTCTAATGAGTTTACTCTCCCCCACAGACGGATTCGGTAAACCTGGAATCAATACTAAACGACATTGAGACTATTTCGGAGGACATCTTAGCCATTCAGCTAGAAAAAAGCAAGTCGCGGGACAACCTGAGTCATCGCCAGGATAACGACAAGGCGAAGAAGCCATATCGCTCCGAGATGAATCTGTATCTGCAGTACGACGGCACAAATCCAACCATTTCTCCTGCCACAGCCACCGCCACCACGGAGAGCCAATCGGGAGGTGCGGGACTGACCACAACGGCAACCTCCAGTGGGGATTCGGGGAACAGTGGGAACAGCAAGCTGATGCGACGCACTCGCTCCCTGGAGAGGGAGCACACCGACAGCCCTGCCCCTCACATACCCGATCCGATGGCACCGTTTCCCGACAAATGCACGTATCTGGGATTCGAGCAGATCAATCAGGCGGCAGCTGGACCGCAACAATCCCCGAATGGACAGCGTCCGCCCATCAGTGCCAAGCCGAGTATAGCGGCCAAGCCGCCGCCTCCATTGCCGCCGGCACGAAGGCCACAGATGCCCACAGAGCCGCCGCCTCCGCCACCGACATCTGTCAGTGGCATGTCGCCGAACAAGAGTCATCTGTACAAGACCCTGGCCACGGCAGCGGCCAAGCGGGCCATTTTTCGATCGTCTCCTTCACAATTAACGCGCTCGCTGGATGTGGATCTGCCAGGAACTGAGGCGGAGACAGCGGCAGAGCAGGCGGCACAGACAGAGGTAAGAGGACTCCTTCGATTCCTTCTGCCAAATTAAGATTCCCATACCCTTTCCAGGCTGATGAGCTGGCGCGGAGGAAGGCACGTCGCGTCTCCATATTGTGCGGCTCTGGACAAGCGCCCGAGGATGCTGTCGCCCCAGTAACCACAGCACCCATGGCCACTGCCAGTTGTGTGGACCTGCCCACCGCAGTGCTCACACCTCCCAGCATTAAGGCCTTCAAGATTAGTCACAGCACACCGTCCTCGCCACATTCCTCTCGCCGGCGCACCAACAGCAATACAATGGCAGTGCCAGGCCATCCAGAGGTGACGGCCACTACCTCGGCGCCGCCCAGCACCAGTCACCATCATCACCATCGCAAGGAGGGCAGCGATCCGGCGCCAATGACGACAGCGACTGTCAGTCGGACGAAATGCTCGCGTCGTCACTCGGAGGGCACTGTCCATACGGTGCATAGAAATAGTGGTGCCAGCGGAGGAGGAGCAGGAGGGGGAGGACACCATCATCATCACAACCACCATCATCCGCATAGCGGCATGGCGATTAGCAACAATCCGCACCACAGCCACCATTCCCACCAGGATAGCAACCACGAGACGGCCACCTCGTTATCCGATCGAAACTCGAACAGTTTTGCCTCCTCGCGAGAGTCCTCCACGAGTTTCAGCATGCGCTCCACTCGCAGGAAGATCTCGATAAGCTCTCACACGGGTGGCAAGATACCCTGGTGTGGCTGCTGGGGCAACGGTTGCCTCTAGATGGCGAGGAGGGGAGGAGTGGTTTCAGCTGCCGTCCACGAATGTACATTTATAGATCTTCATAAAGCCAAGCGCATATCCGTGTTTCTATATGTTTTTAGATAGGTTAGAATATAGAAAATCAAACTTTGCTTTTAGACAAATTTCCGTTCGGTGCAGTACAAAATGTCAGCAGTTCGAAAACAGTTTTCATTCAAGAAAATGTAAAAAGTTCAAGAAACCGAAATTTGTTGTACATACTTATATTTTGTTAGAATCGATTTAGTTGTAGTATTTAACATTCATGTAAATTCTATAAATGTATAAAGGAAAGCAGTTAATAATTGTTGCTCAATTTGGAGAGAATACAAATCAGAAATATATTATAGAAAAAAAAGAAAAACCAGATTATTTTTAAAACTGCAGAAGAACATTAATCTATTTGAATTTGTCCGGTGTATTCTAATAACATAGTTGTTTTCGAATTTGAAGTTTTAGGAATTTTATCCAACCAATTTCTACACATATAAGGGTTAACTGGAAAAATACACATAGGTAGGTGGAGGTAACACACCCTCGCACATTTGGCCATGAGGGGCATTGAAATTCTCTCCTGTAGTTTCGCTTCAAATTAAATTTTTTATGTGGCAACTTTTTATAACAAATTTCATTTCACGCTTGTTGGCCACCTCTAAAGTTCCACTCAACGAATAGAACTGGTCTTTAAATGGGAAAAGAGACAGAGAGAGAGAGAGAGGGTGGGGAAAAGAGAAAGAGCAAAGCCGCAATAGTAGGTGAAAAGGACACCGAGACCGTGGCAGGAAACACTGCAGAAACAGAAACAGCAACAGCAAGTTGGGGAAAATAGTACTGGTACCGTAACGTAACTGGGAAACTGCAACTGAAATTGCGCAACAAGCGAAAATATACAATATGCAAATTAGCCGCAAATTAAGGTGTAAAAATGCATGACACACAAAACGCCTCTAGGATATATGCAGGAAACAAATTAAATTTTACCCCCAGTGCCAGTGCCAGTGCCAGTGCCAGTACCAGTACCAGTGCAAATTGCGGCTGCTGCCATGCCATGGAAGGTGTGAAAGGGGTACTAGGGTCTCTCCAAATGGTTGGGAAAATAAAAAGTCAACAAGAGAGAAAAAGGGCCACTGCAGTGCGCCAGAGAAAATGTAACCCAAAACTGAGAGGCAGCCAAGGACCAATCCACAGTTTATTTTATTTCTCACCATCACAGGAGAACGGAGACTCGACATCCTCCTTCAACACAGAGAAAAGCGACCACTGAAGCACTTGGACTCCATTACTGAAAGACTGGGACTGGGAACTGGGAACTCCATCACTGGCCAGCTGCCAATCAATTGGTTGGCACTTTACTCCGTTTTAGAAATAACTGAATTTATGGCATCTTCTCCGTTTAATTGATTGGCTGCCAAGCTCTACCAGATTGCCGCGAGTTTCGTTTTATTGCATTGTGTTTATCTACGGAGGACTTTTCGCCCTGGGGCTTCTCGGTCTGTTTCTCCTTGGCTTTGTTCCCGTGGCCATTGACTGGCTGCCAGATGCACACTCATCTGTGTTTCTGTTTCTGCTTCTGTCTCTGGCAGGGACATGAGAAATCAATTTGTAATCATTATGAGTCCGTTTATTTGCCAATGAAACCAAGTGGCAGCGCATGAGGGCAATCAGCGTTCGAGAGCTCGAGTGGCGCACATAAACTCTTAGAGGCAAAGCTAAAAATACAAATTATACTTTTTCAGACAAAGAAATTATAAGCTCAAAATTATGACAAAAAAGAAAGAACAATGACAAAAAAATTACATGCCCCGGGTGAGGCTCGAACTCACGACCTTAAGATTATGAGACTTACGCGCTGCCTACTGCGCCACCGAGGCCTTGGATACGTCCAAGAATAAGATGTGCTTTTGAATTGAACCTGCAATTTCTCAGGTATTTTAAAGAATTAATCTTAACGAGGAATGGTCTAAATGTGGACCATGCGATCTATTTGTAGGTGAGATAGAGATAACCTTACACCTGATATGATGTGACATACGTTAGTTTATTCTTAATCGGTGATTATTCCATCTTTACATTCAGAATTTTTTCTAACTTTTTATAATAGAATTTCTGAAGTTCCTTGGAATATTAAAGAAAAAGCAGCAATCATCAAATTTCTAATAGATTCTTCCTCCTGAGTGTGTGGATTTGAATATATTATTCGGAGTACAAGCATTATTTTCTTAACTTACTTAATTTTCTTTGGTATCTATAAAATATGAGGGAGAATTTCAGTCAGAAATGTACATACGTTTTCCACAGTAAAACGATCTACATATTATAAATTGCTTTTCCTCGGAAGAACACTCCCCAAATATTTGTGGCCACGTTCAGGAAAACTTTTCTCTAATCAAATCTATATCAAACGATGCATTTCAAAGACTCTTCTCAGACAATTTGCCCCTGGCTGTTCGCCTAATGATTTATACACCCCACCATACCCGCGATGTATATGTTATTTTATGGCTTTTGTTTCGTTCTGTATTGCTGTTGTATTTCTTTTATGAACGTGTGCCGCCGTGGCATGGCGCCTTCAATGAGCCGTGTCTGCACATATTTCTCAATCATAGCGAGACTTTTCAGACAATGCCATACAAGTATGCATATATCTCTATATATACACGGGTTTTTATGACGCTTGTTCGTGGGAGGGGTTGAGGGAACGGAGTGGAGCGACTGTCTACGGCTTTTATTATCATAAATTCTGTCGCTAAAACCCCATCCCATCCGTGGCAACCATACGAATGGGAAAGAGCTCCTTTGTTTTGACGTATTAACAATTTGTCATGCGAAATTAAGCAGAAGCATAAAAATCAATGCATAGTAACTAATTAGTTGGTGGCTAAGGCAACTGCTCCTCTTCGCTCCATCTACGGCTGCTGATTACTCTGTTGCAACAGCTGCTGCAGGGGCATGGGCATTGGCATGCCACCTCTTCCAGCAGTTCTGCGGGCTCGTACTCCTTTTGTTTGCCCGCATTAACTGAGTGGACAGGACATCCCAGCGCGGAGAGCAGATGTGTGCTCTGGGAGCTGCTAAATATTGCAAGTAGCAACTGATGATATCCCCTGGTGACACTCACACACATGAAAAGAGGCGGGAGACAGGAGCAGCTGCTGGTGCAACACACTCTCTTTTTTTTCTGTTCCTGGTCTTTTGAGCCAAACACTCACTTTGATCATTTTTCATTTTCCCGGACGACACATGGGTTCTCCGAAGGCCCCTTCCCCAGAGCCAGAGCCCAGAACCAGAGTTGTCTGCAGCTGCTGAGGATTCCTGCAAGGAGACGTGGACGGGTTTCCTGTATGACGGGGAGTGTGTATGTGTCTCGGTGACATTGTTGGACTTGCGTGATATTTTTATTAAGAAATATATCAAATGCACATAATGCACACACATTCCATTCTGCCTGCCATATATAACCCTGGGGCTCAGACAGACAACGGGAGCGGAGCTGTTCGTTCTGCCGTTGGCCAAATGACACTTTATTATTTTCATTGTTAAGCGCTGGGGGGTTATATTAAATTAAAGCTCAAACATAGGATGATTGAGCAGGACACCATCTATCGTAGCGTTCTTATTCTCTCTCTCTCTCTCTCTCTCTCTCTCTCGAACAACTCTTCTTTACTGTGAAATTCGAATTTCAAATTGCAAATTTATTCATACGCGTCGCGCGGTTCACGTCAACCGTCAACGTTAAGTGACCTTTCGAATGCCTCCTAACCAGGAGGCGGTAGAGACCTGACCTAACCTGGCCACAGAAATGCGCCTGTGTTTCCAGTCAGGCGAATCCTGGGAACACACAGAAAATTTGCATAATCGCGTGAAGCTTATTTGTAAAATAAAGAAAATGCCAGAAATTACATTTAACATTGAGGGGGCGCTTTGGCGCTCTGGCACTTCGTGAAACGTCCTGGGTCAACGCGCACAGGATGTGTGCGCTAAGCCACCGTCTGAGCCAGGTTAAAAGCATTTCTGAATAATTTGCATTTAACATGCGCGACATGAAAGCCAAATAAACAATTGCCCGCCAGGCCCTCGAGAGCAGAGCTCCTCTTCCACCGACTCTTTCGGTTGAGTGGCAATTTGTCAAGCTGCTAACTGGCCCCTGCAAAATTTTCGGCCTGTTTCCTTTTTGGTTTATGCTGATTTGTTGCACTCCATTTTTCATTTGACTAAATGCTGCAAATGATGCGATTTGATATGCAGAAAATGTGAATGGGAAAGAGCTGACTGACTTTACAGGTCAGTCACCAGTGCTCTCTCACCAGTGTCCATGGACTCAGTGTTCTTCTCTGACTCAACTCAACCCCAATTGCAATGTCCATCGAGAGCGTATACTTAATCTGACTGCTAGCCCCAATAACTTTCACTCGGCTGTTAGCCATGAGTTATGGACGATACGAAATTAACATAATTTAGTTATGAACAGGACACTGTCTATCCCCTAGACCAAATAAATTGTAAAACTTTCGCCAAAACTAAAAGTATAGCAAGAAAATGTATTGTTCGGCCACAGCTGAAAGTCAATAAGCCAAGAGGGGGAAAACTTTTGATCATCAATATCTATCTATATATATCTAACAACATATATCGTTTTTTTTTTGGGTCCAGGCGATAGAGAATAGGGCATAAATTTGATTAATATTAATGCCGCTCGCTGTACAGGGACATGCAATATCAATAAACCCAATGGCAGACTCCTTTTTATGATTTATTGTGTTTCGGTCAGTGGACCTGGCCGTGGACCGTAGCGCAATTTCACCTTGGCTGCCATCATTCTCGTGCTCCATTAAATCTTTGGCGACACATCCAATGAGCCCCATAACGTGTGCCCTAATACCTTTTTTTTGCCTTGCTCCTACCCCCTGTCCTGTCTAATATCCTTTGTTTATAAATGTTCTAATGGAGGGCAAATTATTATTTTTTCCTTTTTTTCTTCGTTCTTCGTTCGGTGTTTGTGCATGTCGGCGCTGCTTCCTTGACGCTGTTCGAGTGATAAATTGATTGGACTATACATAGGGATACAGGATACTCTCAAACATACACATACATTCAACCAGGAAGGACATTCATATCGGCGGTCAGGCGTAGTACACTCCGCTGTCAACCCTGACTGTAAGTGTGTGTGTGTGTGTGTGCCTGGCTCTTTGGCCAATTTATGGTTAAGGTTAGTGGTCAAAGGATAATAGTCACACACTGTTCACAGCTCTACAGCAGGTCACCCCACACTCTGCTGAGCCCCTGTTGACCCGCTGGAATTGTTTGCTTAAGATCAAATGGCCTGGGCATTGGGTCCTTGTTTACAGGCATCTCCAACATACCATCCACCATTCCAAAGAGGAGCAAGAAATACTCCAAAGTATTATCTTAAAGGGGGAGAAAAACTTCAAGGCGACAAAATACATTCAAATATATTGTGAATACATTCTGTTCCAGCTATCCTTTCAGGGAGGGAGAGCTATTTCAAGATGGTTAAGCAGACAGGGTATTCCTCGTTTCGTTGGAGGACTGTATTTTGTGTCTTCTCGGTTCGTTTTTGTGGAGGCACCCCCGGTAAATTATAATAAATGTCATTGTACTTACCCAATGCCACATTGGGATTTAATTTATGGTGTGAAACTTTGCCGGCTGAGAATATACACATATTTTTGTTGTGCACTAAGGTAGATATAGATATAGCCCAGGACATTTGTCCCACATAAATTACTAGGACCCATTCCCCCCCCCCCCCTCCACAACACTGGTGTATCTATTTAGATGGGAGTGAGAGATCTCTCGAAACAAAAGGATATTTTGTGTGCGATTTCATTTCAGTTTCTTTATAAATATTTTAATGGGTCCTGTCAGTGTTTTTAATTTCGCTGTCAAAATCAGCGATTGCTGTGGTTGGTGTTTTCAAATATATATGAGTGGCGGCGCCTGGTGGCATGTTGATTATAATATGCCTCATTAAAAATAATAAACTGTCAGCTAAATGAAGGCGAATGCCAAATACTTGCCACAGTTTCTGGCTCACGATGCCGATGCCTTTCCTCTCTCTGTATCTCCTTCTGTTTCAGCTGCTTTTGCTGTTAAAATTTTCCAAATTTCAACATTAGTTGTACAATGAGGATGAGCAACTGCAAAAGTTTTTCCAGTTCCTGTCAGTGATGTGCTGTGGGGCGGTGGTGGTGGCTTTGCTTTGCTTTTGTAATTGTATCCTTGAAATGCATATCTGATATTTTCACACACAAAAAGCTTAGAGCCATCCTGCCACAGTCCCATTCTCAGTCGCCGCATCGCTTTTCGCTTTCCCTATTTTATAAATATTATATGCAAACACATCTCTAAACATTAGAGGTCCTCTGTGTGTGGAAACCAAATGCGGTTTTCAGATGTCTTCTCTCTTTTTTG